AGTCATTTTATGTAATGGGTGGACTTTTATTATGGTAAAGATGGTGGGGTAAAAATTGAGAAATTCTTTATACCTTAGCTAATAGTCCCCTAAGTCCAAGTATCGATATTTATATCATGGTTGGAGTTGAAAGTGGTGGTGTTGCTGTGGTTGGAAAAGGTGACTGAACTACGAGGAAGTAGAAGAAGAAGCCGAGGCGGTGAGTGGATCGAATATGTAGAAGCTTGTGATGATGTGGTTGAATCTGCGTAGAAGCAGAAGAAGTCGAGGAGGTGAGTGAATCGAACCTGCCGAGGCTTGTGAAAATGTGGCTGAATCTGCATAGAAGCAGAAGAAGAAGCCGAGGTGGTGAGTGGATCGAACATGTCGAGGTTTGTGAAGATCTGGCTGAATCTGCGTAGAAGCAGAACAAGAAGCCGAGGCGATGAGTAGATCGAACCTACCGAAGCTTGTGAAGATGTGGCTGAATCTGCGTAGAAACAGAAGAAGAAGCCGAGACGGTGAGTGGATCAAACCTGCCGAGGCTTGTGAAGATGTGGCTGAATCTGCATAGAAGCAGAGAAGAAGCCGAGGCGGTGAGTGGATCGAACATGCTGAGGTTTGTGAAGATGTGGCTGAATCTGCGTAGAAGCAGAACAAAAAATCGAGGTGGTGAGTGGATCGAACCTGCCGAGGCTTGTGAAGATGTGGCTGAATCTGCATAGAAGCAAAAGAAGAAGCCGAGGCGGTGAGTGGATTGAACCTGCTGAGGCTTGTGAAGATGTGGCTGAATTTGCGTAGAAGCAAAAGAAAAAGCCGATGCGGTGAGTGGATCGAACCTGCCGAGGCTTGTGAATATTTGATTGTTTTCGATGTTTGTGCCAATGATTTGATATTTTGCGCATGTTACCAAGAAGATGCAACCAAACCGTTTCGACTTCTAAGGCACGTACGGCTGCAGCATTGAATGTGTAATGATGGTTACAGCTGGACCTTCTAGAATGAGACACGTTTGAAGAGGTATGTGCGTAGATTTCAAAACGATTTGAATTCTATGCTTCGAATTTAACCTATAATTGGAGGGCTGAGATTCTTGGGGCTTTCATCCAAGGGTTAGGGTTCGTCTTGGCTCTTTATAAAAGGCCAAAAACTTCCATTTTGAACCCTTCTTTATCGTTTTCTTTCTGTGCTTTCTGCCTTTCGTTGTTTCTCGCGTCCAGAGTTGTTCTTCGATTTCAAACTTCGGCATTTCGCAGTTCGTTGTTTGTTAGTCATTCCCGTAGGGTTTTTTTTTTTTTTTTTTTTTTTTTTGCAAGAATCATTTCTTTTGTGATTTTCCAAACTGTTGATATGGAGTCCACTTCAGGTAGAGAATTGGTAACCATAGCTAGGTTGGGTTACGGACTGTTCTGAGTGGAGAATCTGAGTTGGAGTATTATGCCATGGCTGAAGAGCCTATAGATTATGAGGAAGAGTAGGTGGCTGCTAGGATAACGTAAAAAATGACCCTGAAGAAGTTGGCGAAAAATAGGGAGAAATATTGCGTTCCCCATTACGTGGAGATATTAGTCCCCGAGGCCACAAAAGGACGTGTTTTCCGAGGCCCGGATGTATGGCTGTAAATGAATACCTGTTCAAGGCAGGTATGCGTCTTTCTCTGCACTCCTTCTTTAGGATTGTGCTGAGGAACTTTGTGTTGTCACCGACCCAGGTTCTGCCGAATGGATGGAGCCAGCTAGTGGGGTTGTGGAAAAAAGTGTCGTTAGGGGATGATATGCCTCTGGACATCTTTCAGACCCTTTTTCAGCCTCGTGTGTTGGGTAAAGACGAGTCAAGGGGGTGATATTATCTCACACCCTAGGGAGCTCACGTACCCTTTGTGGTGGGGCTTCCTTCTTCCATCAAGGGATGGAAGGAGTCGTGGTTCTGGGTTCGGGAAAAGTGGCAGGCGGTTGAGGAGGACAAGGCCGTGGCTTGCACAGTACCAACCTGGTACTACGAAACTCGTGAGTGTCCAAGCTTGAGATTAAATTTTGCTAGGTAGTTTCTCAATTTTTGGCTGACTGTTGCCACTTATTTTGCAGATTCAAGTACGAGGTTTGAGCTCAGCAAAAGGGAGTTCGAGGTCATAAAGGACATATATAAGCGATCTTTGAAGCTTCACCACTTTGACGACCTCATTGACCGAAGCCGATACTTCATTTATTTTGAACTGATGGTCTCCAAGGGTAAGAAGTGCGTTCACTTGATCAAATTTGTACTTAATTGATATTCAGTGCTGACCTATTGTGTTTGCAGATAAATTCAAGAGAATGGAGTACCCCGTCCCAAACATGGCTTTGATTCTGAGGACAACTTCCACAGTGGGGACGAGGCCTCTGAAGCCGAGCTCCAGTGCAGCGAAGGAGGTCAGGGTCCAGTTGGAGAGGCTGTCCAAGGATGACAGCTTAAGGGGGTCCGTAGAGGAGGCCTCCCATAAGTGTGAGAAGGCGAAGGAGCATTGGGGTAAAGAAAAGTTCCCCGAGGACTCCTCCAAGAAGAGGAGGTTGGTTCATGTCACTTCGGGACATCGGTGTCCCATTCAAGCAATGATACCCCTCCTCAGCCAAAGCTACAGGACTCTGCCATGAAGGCAGTGAAAGTATAAATGGTAAGAAAAGCTAAGGCAGAGGAGGCCAGGAAGGAGACTGCCAGGAGAGCAGCAGAGGAAGTAGAGGAGATGACGGCCAAGCAGAGGCCAGTAAGGACTCAGGGGAAGTCCCCAATTTTCTTACGGGTCGTGATGAGGTCCTTACGCCAGCTTTGTTGAATGCGCTGCCCGCCGAGGTCCGAGGCACTACAGAGAGTTTTTATAAATTCTGGACCGACAGATGGCAACTGCACACCTCAAGCTGTGATGCTGTGGACCTCACTAGGACTTTGGTGAGCCAAAGTGTGAGGACCTTGGGCCTCGCACTTGAGTGCATGGAAACACTCGTTGACTTTCAGAAGAGGAATAAGTCCTCCACGGGCCAGTTGACCTCCACTGAGGAGGAACTGAAGAAAATAAGGGCTAAGGCGGAGGAGATTAAGGCCCAAAAGATTGAAGATGCGGCCAAGTTGGAATCCGCCTTGGGCCAAATTGAGGTTTTGAAGAAAGAGGTGTATGAATCCCAGTGTGAGGTGGCCTCCCTCACTAAAAAGGTAGAGATTTCTAATAATCACCAGAAGGTGACAGCTGAGGACCTGGAGTATGCCAATTTAGAGTTGACCGAGGCCAAGGATGCGTACAAGTTTTTGGAAGGCCAAATAAAATGAAACGTTGACAAGTTGAAGAGAGCAAGAGAGGAGGCCTAGATGGCGAGGGAGGAGGTAGTTAAGGATTACATTGCCAACTTCCACCTCACCGAGGAGTATCAGCGTTTCGAGTTGTATTGGATAAACTTTGCCTATGCTGAGGTGCTGGATAGGGTTGTGAAGCTTCTCCCAAACGTCGACCTATCACAACTGAGGTCGGAGTTTGTTGATGAAGTTCCTCAGATGCCCGTTGAGGAAGCGTTCGGTGATGAAGCGGTAGAGGATAAGGAAGCAGACACTTCTGAAACTCAAGCCGCAGAGGGGCCTTCTGCCGAGACGGCGCCACCATCAGCCTAAGTAGCATAGTTTGTCTTTAATTCATTCTGATATACTGGCCTCGGGCCCCCTCTTGTAATACCATGTTCAATGTCAATGAAAATCAATGTTTTGCAACATTACGTCTTTTCAATATTCAACATCAATGAAAATCAATGAAAGCACATAGACCTCGATAAATGACCACGCATAAGTCTGAGCTAACAATTTGAACTTGATATCTTAACTTCCATTACTTGTAATAATCAAGTTTAAGGATGAGTTAATAATCAAGTAATATAAATGATGAGTTAACTGGTTGCACTTAGGTTTCATCACTTGAAATAAACCACGACGTCCAAATTGCACTTGGGTTATTTGACTGGATATTTTAATTGAGTTCGAATTAGGGAGGTAAAATGATGGTTGGTGAGATGTACACGTTGAGGCTTCTTCCTTTGGCGTTCAGTTTCGCCAAAGGGAATGTGAAGTGAGCCTGAGGTGGCCCTAGAGTTTAGGACCTCTCCTCCGAGGCTCCAACGCTTCCCTTCATGGTGGATGGTGCAGCTATGGAGAGGCTTCTTCCTTTGTCGTTCAGCCTCGCCAAAGGAAGGCCTGTGGAGTGAGCCTCGAAGTTTAGGCAAGGTAACCCCAGAGTTTGGGATCAGGACCTCTCCTCTGAGGCTCCCACGCTTCTCTTCATGGTAGATGGTGCAGCCATGAAGATGCTTCTTCCTTTGGCGTTCAGCCTCGCCAAAGGAAGGCATGTGGAGTGAGCCTCGGAGTTCAAGCGAAGTGACCCCAGATTTGGGGATCAGGACCTCTCCTCCGAGGTTCCCAAGCTTTGAGAGTAGTATCTGAATTTAAATGACATTTTATTGAAGCTGAACATCCATTATATAAGCTGGGAAAGGTCGTCTAGCGATGTAGTACAATTATTGGTGGTAAATTCTGAGATGTTCAATGTTCCATGGACGAGGCTGTGCCTTGCCATCCATGTCCTCAATTCTGTAGGTGTCGAGTCGGGCTTCTTCTTTGATTCTATAGGGACCTTCCCAGTTTGGACCCAGGGTACCTTTTCCTGGCGCTTTGGAGGAGAGGAAGGCTCTCCTAAGGACTAGGTCATTGGTTCGGAAGGACCTCTTCTTCACCTTGGAGTTGAAATATTTAGTCATCTTCCTTTGGTAAGTAGCAAGCCTCAGCTGGGAGTCGCCTCTTCTTTGATCAATGAAGTCAAGGTTGAACCTCCGTAGCTCGTCATTAGTTATTTCACTAAAATACAGGTGATGCGGTGATGGTAAGCTGACCTTGACGGGGCTCATGGCTTCGGTTCCATAAGCCATAAGGAAATGAGTTTCCCTCGTGGGAGTTTTGGTGGTAGTTTGGATTGCCCAAAGCACATGAGGCAACTCATCAACCCAGGCTCTTTTTTAGGCATCCAGCTTCCTTTTGAGGACATGTTTGACAGTCTTGTTTACAGCCTCAACTTGGACATTGGCTTGAGGTTGATGAGGCGTTGAGAAGTGCTTCTTGATTCCAAGTTCTTCGCATAGGTTCCTGACCTTCTTATTGTCGAACTGCCTTCCATTATCTGAAACTACGGAGTAGGGAATTTCGAACCGGCATATGGTGTTCTTCCAAAAGAATTTGGAAGTGTTTGCTTCTGCAATTTTTGCTAGTGGTTCGGCCTCAACCCACTTCGTAAAGTAATCAATGGCCACAATGGCAAAGTTCGCACCTCCTCTACCTTTAGGCAAAGGACCTATCAGATCCATCCCCCACTTGGAGAAGGGCCATGGGCTGGAGACGGTGGTTAGCTCCTGCGAAGGTTGCCTCTGAATGGGGGAGAACCGTTGGCACTTGTCACATTTACGCACAAATTGAATCGCATCCTTTTTCAAGGTGATCAAATAGTACCCTTGCCTCAGTACTTTTTATGCCAAGGCTAGTCAACCTGAATGATTGCCACAAACACCTTCGTGGATTTTCCTCAGGATGTAAGTGGCCTCGTCTCCCCTCACGCAGCGAAGAAGTGGGGAGGAAAATCTCATTTTGTAGAGTACGTCATCAATGAAGAGGAAATGAGCCGATCTCCTTCTCAGTTTGTAGGCCTCATCTTTGTTAGTAGGCAGGACCTGGTCCTTTAGGTAGGCTATAATTGGTTGCATCCAGGTGGGGGTGCCTCCGACCCACATCACTTTAGGAGCCTCGGTAGACGGCACGAGGAGGTGCTCAATTGGTACTATTGCAAGTAGTTCGGAGTCCTTGCTGCTCGCGGAGAGTGCATTTGCATGTGTGTTCTCGAGGCGAGGGATCTGTATTATTTCAAATCTTTCAAAAGATGGGAGGAGGTTCATCACCATCTTCAGGTAAGAGGCCATGATTTTATCCCTAGCTGAAAAACTGCCATTCACTTGGCATACCACTAGCTGGGAGTCACTGTTGATACGCAGCCTCTTTACTTGCATTTCTTTTGCTAATCTTGGGCCTGCGATAAGCGCCTCATATTCAACAGCATTGTTGGCGGCCTTAAATCCGAACCTGACAGTTGAGTTCAATTTGTGACCTTCTGGGCTGACCAAGACTACTCCAACTCCCGAACCTATGTCTCTAGCTGAACCGTTCATGAACAAGTTCACGTAGGGGGCTCAACAGATTCCATAACTTCTTCCACCTTGGGTACATTGGTGAACTCTGCTACAAAATCGGCCAAAGCTTGGCCCTTGATGGCTACCCTCGTTTTAAAGACAATGTCGAATTCACTTAGCTCCACTGCCCATTTCAATAGTCTTCCTCAGGCATCTGGCTTCTGTAGCAATTGTCTTAAAGGGAAGTTGGTTAGCACGTGAATAGTGTGTGCCTGGAAGTAGGGCCTCAACTTCCTAGAAGCTGTGATCAATGATAAGGCTAGCTTCTCCATGTCGGGATAGCGAGTTTCTGGAGATAGAATGGCTTTGCTGGTATAGTACATTGGGAGTTGGGTGGCTCCTTCCTCTCAGATCAGGACTGCGCTGATGGCCTCGTTGGAAATGGCTAGGTATAGTTGGAGGATATCGTCGGGCTTAGGCTTGGAGAGGAGAGGGGCCTACCCTAGGTGCCTTTTCAGCCCTGGAAGGCCTCTTCACATTTCTCATTGCATTCGAACTTCTTCTCGACTTTCAATACCTTAAAGAACGGGAGGCATTTATCGGTGACCTTGGAGACAAAGCGGCTAAGGGCTGCCACCCGTCCCGTTAGGCTTTGGACTTCCTTTGATTTCTAGGGCGATCTCATCTCGAGTAAGGCATTGATCTTTTTAAGGTTGACTTCGATTCTTCTTTAGTTGACCATGTACCCTAGGAACTTGCCAGAGGCAATGCCAAAAGCACACTTGAGGGGGTTAAGTTTCATTCTATATCTCCTGAGGATTCAAAAACTGTTATCCAAGTGCGTCACATGGTCGTTTGCCTTCAAGCTTTTCACAAGCATATCGCCAACGTAGACTTCAATTGTCTTGCTGATGAGGTCTATAAACATTTTGTTGACAAGCCTTTGATAGGTGGCCTCGACGTTTTTCAACCTAAAGGGCATCATCTTGTAGCAGTAAAGGCCTCTGTCAGCGATAAATGAGGTGTTCTCTTCATCGAACGGGTACATGGGTATTTGGTTGTAGTCAGAGTAGGCATCCATGAAGCTCAAGAGCTTATGCCCAGCAGTGGAGTCTACCAATTGATCAATTCTCGGAAGTGGGAAGCTGTCTTTCGGGCATCCCTTATTGAGATTGGTAAAGTCAATACATACCCTCCACTTACCGTTGTGTTTCTTGACTAGCACCGGATTGGAGACCCACTTCGGGTAGATGGCCTCTCTGATGAAGCCATTCTCGATTAGCTTCTGTACTTCTTTCTTCAGAGCCTCATATCTTTCTGGGTTGAGAGCTCTTGTGTGCAGGGCAACCTTAGGATCTATTTTTAGGTGGTGGCAGCTGACCTTAGGGTATATGCTCACCGTGTCCTCATGCCTCCAAGCAAAGACGTCAAGATTCTTGCAGAGAAAGTCTTTCAATCTTTCTTTCATGTCGTTGCTCAGGCCTAAGCCCATTTTCAACACCTTTGCAAGGTTACGAAGGTCGACCGGGAAGCTTTCTAGTTCCTCTACCAGGGTTGTTTGGGGTTCGTACTCAATCACTCGGGGATCGATCTCATCGATCATGGAGAGTTCTTCCTGCTCGAGAAGTGCGTCGATCATGTCAACATCCTCTCGTTCGGGAGGGGCCTCACTTGGGATGGCTGCCATATCCACATCTGTCAGGATGGCATGTACGTCTCGAGGCTCGACCTTCCTGATGGTGCTCATGTAGCATTCTCTGGATCCTCTTTGGTCACCTCTCATTGTTATCACATCGTTCTCAGTTGGGAGTTTCAAGCATAAGTGGTGGATGGAAGTGACAGCTCCTAGCTTCTTCAGGGATGGCCTACCCAAGACTCCATGATAAGCCAACCGACTGTCTACAATAAGAAATTCCATGAAGTTCATCGTCGTTTGGGGGGACTCTCCCATCTCTACTGCTAACGTTATTTTTTCCTCTCGGAGTGATGCTATCTCCGGTAAATCCGTATAGAAGAGTGGTGGTGGGCGTCAACTCATGGTCCAGGATCATCTTATCAAAGGTGGATTCGAATAGGATGTTAACGTAGCTGCTGTTGCCTACTAACATTCGCTTGAGCCCATTTCAGGCTACCACAGCCCTTACTATAAGTGCATCACAATCGGGGTAATGAACTCCTTCAGAGTCTTCTTAGGTAAAGACGATGGGTGGTACTTGGTTTCTTCGGGAGCTACTGTCCACGATATAACTGGTCAGTGGGAGGCCTTTGGCCGCTTCGCATTCCAAGTCTCCTCCCATGTAGGGGCCTCCAAATATGGTGTCTATCTCATGAATAGGGGCCTCCTCTTGAACTTGGCGGTTCCTACGATGCCTATGTCCTTCTCTAGGTCTTTCCGCACCATGTTCCCTTCGACGGGGGGATACATTTCATTGGCGGGGAGCGGCCTCCTCACGCCTAGGTCGTTGGTCGTCCTTAGGAGATGGCCTGTTTGCCTGTGGCGAATCATTCCTTTTGTCTTGGGGGTTTTCCCGTCGATTGCGGTATGCGTACTCCCGAAACTCAAATGTGTCATGACCGCAGGAGTAGTGGTACATGCAATAATCAGGGGGTTTTTTGTTAGGCCTATTCCTAGGCCCTAGCCGCGCCCCCGGCCTCTTCCTCTACGGGGGGTCTGTTGTGAAGTTCCTGCTTGCAGTCGGTAGATGTTGGATTGACATCTTCATATGCCAATGTTGGAACTGCGTTCAAAGTGATTGTGGCAAGTCCTTGCCCTGAATTTCCATTACCAGGTGGATTCATTAGGTAGTCCATCAGGTGGGAGGTCGGTCCCCTGGCGCACTGTCTTTATTGAGGTGGGAGGCCTCTACTGGCCCGATTCCGGTGCTCAATTAATTCTTCATTAATAATCTTCCGCCTAATCATTTCCAACAGGGCGTCGTAGGTGGTAGGATCTTAGTTTTGCACGTCCCTCCAAAATAGGGTGTTCATATTCAGACCTCCTTTTAAGGCTGCCAAAGCTTCACGATCGATAACTTGCACGCAATACGTCATTTCGTCGATAAAACGTGATAAAAAGCTTTTCAGGGATTCCCCATGTGCCTGTCTCATGTTTTGAAGGTGCTGGATGGGGGCCTCTCCCTCCTTGCTCACTGCAAACTTCTTTAGGAAAGTAGTCTTGAATTCTGACCAACTCCTTATGCTCCTAGGCGGCAGTCGACTATACCAAATTTCAACCGCTCTACTAAGTGTTAAATGAAAAGCTTACACTTCATGGCTTGGGTAGCGACTTTAAGGCTCATATGAGTTTTATAAGCGCTTAAGTGTTTCTCTGGGTCGTCTCTCCCGTCATACTTTGTTATCTTGGGCATCACATAGTGGTCCGAAACCTGGGCATTTCTTAGTTCCCTTAAGAATGGTAGATTTTCATCATCATCGTCGTCCAAGTCACAGGACCTATGCTGCTCATCCGAGTCGTTATTCTCTTTGGCTTCGTACAGGGATAGCTGATGAGAGGGTTCAGCTTGGGTCCTAACCTTCTCTTTCCTCCTTGGGCACCTATTTCTAGGCAGAGCAACACGAGGGGCATTCTCATACCCTTCCTCCGACTGATAAGACATCAGAGGTGGTGGCTGTGGTCTATTTCGAGGCTCGCATTGTTGTTGATGTTGTCTGTGCCTTGGTTCTGCAGGACTAATTCTGTCAAAGACGATGTTAGACCTCTTAGGTCTTTGTTCTGGCTCATATGCTGGTGAGAAGTTGTCCTCGTTATCCGAGCCTCGATGGGTCGACCTGCAGCATAATTGGAAGAAACATCAACTTCTACTTCCCTCTCCATGGGGCTCCTGCCTCGGCTGTATTCTGTCGGTACAGCCATTTGGCTTCAAGCTTCCTCATCTTGGTCATAATGTTCTTGGGGTGCATAGGGAAGAATTTTGGCTAACAAAGTCCCTCATATTTACGATTATGGTGGCCATTTTCCTTGATAATTGAGCAGCCTTCCGCATGCCACCTCTTCTGTGGTGGTGGTGAGGCCAGTGCCGAGCTGCAAAGGCAGCTGCTGACGAGGGCATTCCGACATTTTCTCTTATTCTCTTAGGGGGTACATCCTCATCTGAACTCATTCTCTTCTGTTCCGATCTCAGATTATTGCTAAGTTGTGGGGCTTCCACTTGTTCTTTTGTAAGAACAAATCATTTTTCAGGGGGGATGCCCAAATATTCTTTTCGATAAGCTTCTTCCACACGGTTACTCATAGTTATAGTATAGTTTTCCACAGACGGTGTCAATCTGTTGACCCCAGAATACATTGTCAACAGATACCGGACCCACCTGTGCACACGTAAGCCTGGTCCAACACGCTAAGACACGTGGACGGTCTAAAAATGATAGCAAAAAGGAGGTGTGGGAGCGACTCAAATATGCGTGAGGAGAACGTTTGAAATCCGACGAGATGCTTGCATAACGATTGTACAATAATTACCAATCGATGTTTGTAGAATGCCAGTATGAATTTATATATGTTGCAAGAGAGAAAAATGTAAAGAATATTGTATTTGTTCTTGTGTTGAATCTTGCATTACCCTTGTGAGAGATACATGGAGAGTATTTATAGTATTATAACTTAGATTGTAGCCCTTGGTTGGGAGTACACGTGGCCTCATCTCGTAAGTTTACATGTCTAATTATAGTTGTCACATTTGATTTTCTAGCTTGCTACACATTAATTAATTGACGGCTCTGCCACTACGTTGACAAGACAAGGCACTTGTGCTCTATGATGGGTGTCCCATCAATCACTTAGGGAGGATCCTTGTATAAGACCAGATTCTTGGGGAGCAGTGCTGCTTAGAGCCTCAGGACTTCGAATAGAAGGGCCTCGGCTATGAGTTCTCCTCGACGCATTAGCTTCGGCGATAGCACTTGGACCACGCCTGATGTTGTTATAATATGTTGATGTTCTTGTTGGGATAGGGCCTCGGATAAGATGCCACGTGGTTCGGCAGAAGTGGGCCATGGGCCCTAGTGGGTTGGCCAAGTTT